GATATCCGTGAACTAGGTAGCGGCAATGCCGGTGCCACCAATACATTCCGGGTATTAGGTCCTAAAGCCGGTTCAATAGTCATGTTGTGCGATATGATGAAAGGCTTTATTGCCGTGAAGCTATCGTTGCTGTCCCAGTTTGAATGGCATAGTGAAGCGATCACCAACCTGCAGATCTGCCTTGGTCTTGCCGCCGTTGTTGGTCATATCTTCCCGATATGGGCTGATTTCCGTGGCGGTAAAGGAATCGCAACACTTTTTGGTATGATCCTGTCCATTCAGCCGCTGGTTGCTATCAGCCTGATCGGGGTATTCCTGCTCATGCTCTTCCTGACGCGTTATGTATCATTGAGTTCTATCAGCGCCAGTATAGCCTTTCCGCTGCTAATCCTGTTTATTTTCCAGGAGCCGGAGATCAGTTACAAGCTTTTTGCCATTGCTACCGCCTGTTTGGTGGTACTCACTCACCACAAGAATATAAGCCGTTTGCTCACCGGCAATGAGAGCAAGGTGCCATTGTTCCGTAAACGTAGGAACAGGGATCAGGCCGATTCTTAAGATTATCCCTATGCCAGATGAAGCCTGGTTTTCTTAAACAGCTTAAAAGTTATGTTTGGCCCGTAAGGGTTCGCAGTGCCACCAGCGCCGTAAACCCCGTATTGGAGCTCTATTATTACCGGGGCCGGTGGCAGCTTGTTACAGCAGATGCCCTGTACTCCGATGGTGTAAAATACCGCCCGCTGCTGGCTGCATTCAAGGTGCTCAAAAAAGAGTTGCCGGCGGTTGAGCAGGTATTGGTATTGGGCACCGGTTTGGCAAGTGCCGTACATATCCTTCATAAAAGACATTTTCATCCACACTTTACCCTGGTAGAGCTGGACAGCGTGGTCTTAAAATGGGCACTTGAATTGCTACCCACTGGTACCGCCAATAGTGTCACACCAATATGTGCAGATGCCTTCCAGTTCCTGGAGAAAAAAGATCCCAAACAATACAACCTGATTATTGTAGACGTGTTTAGCGGCCGTCATGTTCCTGCCTTTGTGCTGCATCCCGTATTCTTACAGCTTTGTAAAGAAAGACTATCGCCCGGTGGGCTGCTTATTCTCAATTATATGGTCAATCGTCCGAACGAAGAGCAAAAAGCAAAAGCCGCTCTGGAAGCGG